CCCCCCCTCTCTCTCTCCTCCCGCGTTCCTCCTCTTTCATTGCTTTCATTAACGATGACAGTTTAATTTCGATGCGACAGCCTCGACTTTTCGCGCGAATTTGAAGGATACACTTGGTATTTTTTTTTCTCGTGTTTAGGCCTTTTTCTTCCACGGTCGCGCGTTTTCGCGTGACGATGACTAGATTCTACACGAGCGTATGCGCTTTGCGTCAGCGTGGGTATGTGTAAGCGTGTCTTTGTACATGTATATATATATATATCTGTACGTGCGCATGTATGTAATCGTGTGTGCATATGCATGGGATGTATGTCGATTGAGTGTTATTCTTCCCTTTGGTGATCGTCAGATTAGTTGGCTTCAGCGCACGTTCGATCTTTGGTGTATTCTCGCTGGCAGTAGCTCAATATCCGCCATGGGGATGACGTACCAGAAGTGGCGAAAACCCCTGTCCATCGGGTAACCCGTAAAAGTGTGACGAAAGCGAACGAATCAAGGTATCCTTAACGATGTTTCTTGATACAGATACTCTCTTTTTCTCTCCCTTTCCCTTTCTCGATACTCTCCTCATTTTCCTGGATATAAGTACGATTTCGCGACTTCGTCCTTCCCCGAGGAGGAAAACTCGCGGACTACTGGTGATTATAGAAAAGTGCGCGCGATAAAAAATGCATTACGATACGTTACCCTGAAGTTACGGGCTGTGTGACGATGTTAACTCGATTCTCCCCCATCCATGGAAGGTAAATGTCGCGGAAACGAGAGAGAAATAGAGAAAGAGAGAGAGAGAGAGAGAGAGAGAGAGAGAGGAGAGAAAAAGAGAAAGAGAGAAGAAGGAAGAGAAAGAGAGCAAACGGTAAGTTCGATCTTGAGCAGATTAAACCTATTTTCACGAAGACATTCTCTTCTTTTGCTACGCGCGTTAATCTTAAAATCACAGGAGACACAATCGCGATAAAATGCGTCCGGGATCAATTGCGTCCTGAGAGAGGGATTAGTATTCATTATTCCGCAAAAGTTCAATTCGCGAGCTTGTAGAGCTTGTTCATCCGCGGGAAAACGCATGTTCGCGGAATTTCGGTTGAATACATGTGACTAGAAATATGTGTGGCGATTATCATCATCTCTTCAACAGCAAACGTGTCAGATAATTATAGTTATGTATTATGTTGTGAGCATCTCGTTTCGTCGAACGTATCAGATTTAAATCAGATAGTCTACCTCTTTCAGTCTGCTTGGCCTCTGGCAAATTGAGTTAGAATCGTTCACGTTTAACATGCGTGAATTTAATTTAAAAAAATATCCAGAATGTGTCTCTAACTTTCGTCGATATTTGCTAAGAAATAGAAGAGGATACTCCGACTATTTTGTAATGGCTTGTGAAAGACATAAGGTATGTGATTCAAATCGAATTCGCTTTTAAGCCGAGAAGAGCGAAAGAGAAAGGGGAAGCTCGCGAGCCCGAGTCGATCTTCTATTCGAGCTTTTGAGTTACAACTACAACGAGGGTAGATTGCGAGGCTCGAAGATCGATGGACACGGGAGGATCGATGGTGTTCGCGTTGGTGCTCGTCATCCCCGTGCGATCGCGTGACCCTTTCTCCTGCTATACGATCCACCGTCCCGCGTGCATGCGCTCTGTACAGAAATCCTGAAAGTGGAACGTTGCGATTTGTGATCTACGCGATCAACCGCGATCGCGATCTCGTCGTACGTTCGGTCCATCATCATCATCATCATCATTATCATCATCATCATCATCGGTGTCGTAATGGCTCGCATGCAATGGCGAGCGCGATTACATGGCCCCGTTGCGCCTTCGCGTGGAAGAGCGAATCACTGAACAAGCCCCCGGCTTCCGTGCGAGCAATCTGACGCGACCAGAAAGCTCGTCGTCCACCCGTGAGGATGGAGATACCCTCCTGCGAGGGATTAGCTTCGTCAGCCATTCGTCCGCTCGGGCGATTCCTCGCCTCGACGGAGGCTTCCCGACCGAGGAGGAGGGTGTTGCGAACCCTTGCCGAACGGTTCGGCCGATCGTGGCTTTGATGAAGATGCTTGATTTTAGAGGTCTTGGTCCGCGCTCTCGACAGTCTCTGGACCATCACGATCACGATTACGTCGCTCCTCGCTTGCTCTTCGTCTTCCCACTGTGCTCCTGCCCGCTGCTCGGGCTAGGCGGGCTGCTGCTAGTCATTCTGGCCACCCTCCGGTAAATCTCGCTGTTGACAAAACGCGGATACGAGTCCCGGTGCATGAGGGTATAGATTTGCAGTTGTGCCTCGTCGAAGGTATGCGGTGTAGGCTCCACCATGTTGCGATTCACAATTTCTCGCACCCGCGAGTCTAAACTCACCTGCAAACATAAACGACGAAGGAAATGGATTAATTAACATTTGTATCAGATATTATCAACTACATGCTATATAAAAATATTCTACGAAACTGCAACTTATTGTATCTTAATTTACAAGTGACTATTTGCATACAATTTACATTCTCTCATTTCCTATAAAATATCTTTTAATTCTACGATGTTTCTTCCTCTTTCTTGTAAAATAATAATAAAATTTACAAATTGCAAAATTTTATTCTTTTAATTAATTACATAAATATAATTTTTCAGGAATAGACCGATCTATGGCCTCGAAAATGAAGCTAACATGTAAGTCTTTTAATCGCATTTTCGCAACAATTTTTCTTTATCACAAAGAATGACGAAGTACCGATATATTCATAGCTATAAACAACAATAAAAAAACTTTCCGAGAATTATAGACCATAATATGTGTACGACATACTTTTAACACGATCTTTTTTATATTATCTCGTAAAACAATCTAGGTGATTGCAATAATGCATAGTCGTGTACCGTACAATTATGCCGTAATGTTCGAATGGCAAAAGAAGGTTCGTGCATTCGCCCCGTTTGGGTGAATAAGTTGTTAAAGAGGTCACTGGGTCACTAGGTCAGTCGGTTAATATAGAAGAAATCAGTCACGCGCATTCGCAGCTTTTCTCAAACAAAACATTATATTGCAAAAGTCTCCCTTCACGTCAAACTGCATTTAATTTTACCGTCGCGTTTTTCTAATTCTTGCGCGTTCGTACACTCGACTTTCTGCATCCGATAAAAAAATGGCGTAATTAGATAATACATCCAATAACATTATCGATTCTATCGTCAAAGCTAACAGCTCTGGAAGCTCTGGAGAGAATTATTTTATGTTATGAAATGTGTAAGTGCTTATGATGCATCACACGGGCTATTCAAAGTAGCAGATACTGATCGCATGACGCATACTGCGTATGCCATTATAAACTAAATAGATGGTTACGTTAGAATATGCTTATTATTTCCAGGTTGACGCTATCTTTACTTCGATATCAGATGTACCATAATAAGAGAGCACGTTTTTCCAGGAAAATAAAAACAATTTCTTCTTGAATGTCGTGTACTTTTAAACGTCACATAAAATAGTTATATCTATATTTTACAATCATATATTCAGAATTCTAATATATTTATATATAATTTTGTTATATTCGCCCTATTTTAATATCATACATATGTCGTTATTTTATTCGAAAGCGATACCTATATTATTTTTTACCTTATGTTATTATATAAGCGAAATTTTATTAAAGTTATCTAATGATCACAGTTAGAAACGAATAGTAACAAATAAAATTAATCAATTAAAAAATACTCCACAATTGCTAAATAAATTTTTTAAAAACGTGAAAATATATAAAAAATATAAAAAATTGTTTCAAAATAGAGAAATTTAATTATCGTTAGTAGATCTGAAACACCTGACAAAAATTAACAATAAATCTTAATTCGAAGCTGCCACTAATTTCAATTATCGCCAATAATTATGTACTCTCTAATAATAACAAAAATATCTTATATCTCTATTTGTATAAAGGATTTATAATTACGTTACTTTATATAATTCTAGATGCAAGTAATAGATCAACGGGGTCATTTGCTGGCTGCTCCTGAGTGCTTCGATCGAGTTACGATTACGATTTCTTATCACGAATAAATAAGCATTTTCTCTATGAGCCAATGGAGAGGTTTACTCACTTCCTTTGGCGAAAGTATGGATATGTAATCGTCGTAAATGTAGCGCGCCTTCTCCTCGATCGTCTCGGGATTGCTCTCCCTCTTGAGTTGCTCGCAGGCAAGCCAGAAGGCAATGTTCTCCTCGCTGTACTCGCTCACGAGGAACTCTCTGAAGAGCTTGCGGCCGGCGGCGCTCCTCATCAGTTTGTCGAAGGACGAGCCCCAGGCCCGAACCTCCTCCAAGCTGCAGCGCTCCAGAGCGCCGTCGAGGCCGTCGAGTCCATCGAGACCGTTACCCGCACCCGCGAAGTCGGTGACGCTGATTCCACTGCCATGCTCGCCGCCGACACCGGCGTTGCCCTTTTTCTTGCCCTGATCGCCCGCACCGCCGGTACCCGTCGAATTACCGCCGACTGCCGCCAAACTGAGACGACAACGCACGTTAGAACTATCTCATAGATCTCTCTATGGCTGCGGTCAAATTTTCATTACAAATGTTTTGAAGCGTTTGATTGACCAATAAGAAGAAAGAACTTCACAAATCGACCAATCAAAAAACGCTTTAAAGCATTTTTTGATTGGCATCGCATTGACCGTATTCTATATTGTTAATAACGTGTAGAATCGTGCGGGACAATCGATTAAATAAATAGGTTGATATGATGATTTCACGATTATAAGCTATTTTATTCATGTTTAAATCCCGTTTGAAATAATAGCATTTATTTATAATTTATTATTATAATATTACGTAGATTTTAGTTATTACTATATAATCGAAAGATTAATTAAAAATAATAATTTATTGAAGGTTTCTTTTTGCGCAGTTACTTTAATCTACTTTACACGTTACAATTATAACAGGTGAAGCGTCTACCGATCAGAAATTTGTCGTAGATTGTAGTATCGATATTGATATTAAAATTGATCGTAAACCATCGTGTTAATTATAACGATCGTACGATAATATTACAGTGGTGATTTTTGTTGGCAAACATGAGGATGGCGGAAGGAACGCAAACGCGAAAGTAATGATAGACAGCCGAGAATGAAGGGAGGCGGAGGAAAGATGTGTAGAAAATGAATATTAAACTTGGTAGCCTCGGGAAATGAAGAGCCATAAAATGAGTGACGAAGGAAAGAGTATGATCCGGCGGACGCACACACAAATACAGTAGAAAATGATAATGATTAACGATCGTCAGGATAGCTAATTTAATCGAGACTGAGGATAACGAGATACAAAGAGATGTGAACGAGTGGCATCGAACCGAGAGAAAATATTAGTCGTGTCGATAACAGACACAGAACCGGGTCATTGGAAGGCCGATTCTTTGTGCTTGATGACGCGGCTGTCCCTATGGCGTTTGCGAACCACAACTGTGGAAATAAACGGCGATTCTGAACGGTTTACGCGACTTGGTCAGATGGCAAATCACGAAAATGATTGGTTCTGTATCGGTTGCCGTCTGATCGATCGACTTGCGTTTATTTCTAAAATTTATTTCTTTTTTTTTACTTGAATGAATAAAAGAAAATAAAATATCTGGTAATTTTAGGATATTTCTCACGCTCATTTGTCGTAAATTCTACAAAATATTGCAAGAGTTTACTTTAAAAAGGTTGCTTCTCGCCCTGATGAAGTGAACTGCAACGTTCACGAAATGTTGGCAACAACAATCGAAACACAGAAATAACTCGCAAATTGCGTAGTTTCTTTATTATGAAAGAGTCTTTTTTTATCTAACGTTGCAAACAATTGTAAAACCGATTACTTGTAGATTTATTATTCATTGAAATTTTACTTCAACAGCAACGATTTCTTTTAAAAATATATCTTAATTATAACAACTATAATATAACTAATAAAATAGACAATTGGCGAAAACAGTGAAGAGTATACTGTCGCATATTCCTGCGGTAGAAATTCAGGAAATGCCATTGCACCTCAGATAGACTCTTTCGGGTCGATGCCAGCCTAGAATGAGTAGGCTACTAGCGTATAATCTGTAAAGATGGCTCGCGTAGGAAGGACGCGTGGTATGTGCATAACCCCGTTTCTATGAGCCGTAATACGTGCATTACGATAGCATCATCATCGACATAACAAACAAGCAGCATTAACGCACACAGTCCGTGGCCTGCTTACCATTTATTCCTACTTGTGGCATGAAACACAGAAAGGCAATATGTAGGTACGTCTGCACGGCAATAAATGGATCACACGCGAGAGTTTAAAGACAATGGACCGATATCGTTTCAATGGCGAGAGGTTCAGTAGATGAAGTAAGCACGAAAATAGCCGCGCGATAACGATAATAGCGCGTGGCTCGTTTTCATCTACTTTATGTTTGCGATTACAATGAAAACTCTTTGTGCTGACTTTTCAGTAACTCGCCATCGCGAGTACATGTAATTATAGTACGAGAGATCGAAGTCACTTCGTGCAATTCGGAGATCCATTCTTCATTAACGATTTGTCCATTGTCCATATAAAACGAGTATTGTCCTTCATAATTTAATAAAACATTTCGTACATCGGTGCGCTGTCCGCTTCAAGAGTTAAATCAATGGCGGCGTTCAGCAGAAAAAGCGGCTTTGCAACTGTTGTAAAAGTCTTTAATACGATTGGTTCTTGCACTTAGTTCCTCAATGGTTCTAAATGTATGAACTAATCATATTAAAGAATCTTACAACAACTGCAACAGCTGCTTTTTCTGCTGAACGCAGCCAATGTAACATGTCATTGTGAAGAAAAACAACTCGAGATAGATTTTTACATAAAAATCTAAGAGATAACAAAATTTTTCATTCACATTTGATTAACAAAAGATTATTACGATTTTCTGTTTCATAATTAAGCGATTACTAAAAAATGTTAGATTATAAAAGAGCAATGAAAAATGCCGAATTGCTCAATCTTCGTATCAACGATTTTCTTAAGAATATTTCTTTTCAGTCGCATCGATGTACGAGCCATGATCAGACAGGATCGATAATACCACGAGCAACTGCAGCAACAGCACCAGCATAGGCAACAGTTGTCCTTCTTCGATCGACCCGTGAATCCGGCCGCCTGACGTTGCTGTTGCTGCGACTGCTGCTGCGACGCGGATGTCTGTTGCTGCTGTTGCTGCGACTGCTGCTGCTGCTGCTGTTGCTGCTGCTGCTGCTGCTGCTGAGACGATTGTTGCGGATTATGCTGCATCGTGGACCCCGAGGCCTGGCCTTGATTCTGTGCACGGAGGCGGCAACCACCAGCTACACCTTCGCCGCCCGTCCCGTGACTAACGCCGATTCCCATTGCGGTTGCACCAAGTCCACTCGACATCTGGAAGCGACATTCGCCCTCTGAATCCGCACACCACGTGCGAACGAGCTTATCCCGTGCTAAGAATAGTTCTACTAAATCAGTGTCTTCCGGAACACAATGAACCACTTGTCGACTTTGTGATTTGTTTACGCAAGGTGACTGACATTGAACTTTTTTAAAAACATGTTCAAATATAGACCGATAATATATATGAAGTTTTTTTAAATATTAGTACTGTACGCACATTTAGTACACATATTTATATATGTTTAATTTATTTTTATATAATAATCTAATTGTCTATACGAAAGTAATATCTAGTAATTTTTTAAATATCGATATGTATAATTTATCATTAAGATATAAATAGATATTTTTATTGTGCAAGACCAAGGAAAAACATAAAAATCGCGAAAGTAACTCACATAAATTTTGGGAGAGAAACAGAATCGTTGAGTATATGCCAAAAGTAAATTTTAATTAAGCATTTAGCGTGAAAATCATGATTATTAAATTTTCACATTTAAATGAGTCATAAATAATAAATCCCAAGAAGAGAACAGGACAATTTACTCACGTGGCAATACGATAAAGTTAAACTTTAGTCAAAATAAACTAGTACGATAATTGACATGTAAGCTTTCAAAAAGCAACCAATTAGTTCGGATACGATTGTCGTACGCTCAGCTGCACGTATCGATTGGCTTGTATTTTCAGCGCGATCCGACGATGGTGATATCGAAGTGAGAGATGTAGCCGGAGATTTATTATTCTTCCGTTCGCTGTTCCGTTCGAGGTCTTTGGTATTTAAAATTCATGATCGCCAGACGGCTGAGCTGACCGATATTGGATTCCCGGAGAAAGTCTAAGGAGAGGATTAAACTCTTAAATGCCATATTTAAGAACGCGATCTCAATTCAAAATCTGTATTTCCGATCATTTTTCAAGAAGTTTAAATATCAACGAGGATCACTAATATTTTATTGTACTAATGAAAGTCAAAAGTATTTTAAAATAAAATATCGTTAAAGATTAGCTTTGATGCAGTTCGGGATTTTCTTTGCATCTTTTCCTATTCCGTTAAACAAAAGGAAGGAACAAACGAATGGAATTCTGAGCGCACGAATTTATTCCGCAGCGTTCGAAACCTCGCGAAAATATATTCAACGTGGCTCTTGCTTATTCTCTCTCGCAATATAAAAGAGATTCGCGGAATGAAGTTTGGGTATGTGTCTGCACATGCACGTAGCCGCGTGCGGCCCTTTATTTTTACACCGTGTTGTATATCGATGACCCGCTCTCTCTCCGATGCGGCCTCGCGCGATAACGACTACATCGGACAGTCGCTTATAGGGGATGTGGGAAGAGGTTGATAAACAGCGGGCACTGGCGTAAAGTGTACACGTGTATTCGCGAATAAACGTGGTGGCGCATACGAATGAAGCCACGTGAAGATGAGAGGTGGAGAGGAAAAGACGGGAGAAAGAAAGAGAAAGACGGATATGAAACAATTGGGAAAGGAAATTGAAATTGGACAATCGGAATCGTAGAGATTGGAAAGGGGGGGGGGGGGGGGC